ATAGAAAGACTGGTAAAACTGAGTGTTTTTGTTGGTAAATAGAAAGACTGGTAAAACTGAGTGTTTTTGTTGGTAAATAGAAAGACTGGTAAAACTGAGTGTTTTGTTGGTAAGTAGAAAGACTGGTAAAACTGAGTGTTTTGTTGGTAAATAGAAAGACTGGTAAAACTGAGTGTTTTGTTGGTAAGTAGAAAGATTGATAAAACTGAGTGTTTTGTTGGTAAGTAGAAAGACTGGTAAAACTTAGTGCTTTGTTGGTGTGGGTGTGTATTTACGTGTTTATTAACTTTACGGTATTTATTTACATTGGTAGAAGGGAAGTCTTGTGGTGTGGTTGTGTATTTAGGTGTTTATTAAATGTATGATTTTTACTTACAATGACAGGCTGGAAGACTTGTGGTGCAGTGAATGTAGCTAGGACAAAGAACAGATTTATCTCTCTCCAACGATTAGCTGCCGAAGAAAGGTGAATACATAACACCATTTGTTGTGTGTGAACTCCATAACTTAGGCAAACCTTCTCAATGCTCGGGGGTTTTCTTAGCAAATATATCTGGTTATTGTGCAGTATGAAAATTCTAATTTTTTAAACCAAATTTCAAGTTCTACACAAATAATTATATGCATCACTTTGTTGAATTTTGAATGGTTAGAATAGAAATGTATTTTAAAAATTCTAATTTCTTCTTGTTTTTACTTGTTCCCGTTTCTTTGTGAAACTTTTATAGAACTTGGAAATTTTACTTCCCATATTCTACAAATGTTTTTAACTTTTACTGGTTGTTTTTTAAAAAATGTGATTTTTTTTTCTATACTCTAGATGCATGATAATCTGATAGATACAGTTTATATTTGATATGTTTCTGTTGAAGTCAAATGTGCAATATAAATTAAGTTTTCATGTTTTTGATTCAGTTAGAAATAACTTGTTGTTTTTAAAAAGTTCCAGTTTTTTTGCTCCAAAATATTGAACAGATAAAATATGATTTTTAGAAAATGTTTTGCAGTTGACCCCCCCCCTTTCTTTCTTTTTTTTTTTCAGAGTGCAAAAAGTGGATTGTCAAGTGGTCGGTCCAAGTGAACTTAAATCATTACATCCACTCATCAGAACAGATGACCTCATGGTAAATTTTTATTTCATCTTCTTACAGAAGTTTGAATATCTGAAGAATTAACTACATTTTCTTATATCTTGTGTTCTGATATTCTAATTCGTTATTAACTCATTGACTGCTGGCAGTTGAATGCGAGTGTGCCACATAAGGCGTATGACTTGAAAAATTCTGCGCACGTTTAGAGAAGCCGCAGACAGTGGGGTTAACTAAACAGCTTGAATGTTTTAGGACATTGAAAAAGATTACCAGTGAATGTTTCGTAGACTTATTTTCATCTTTCTACGTACTAAACTTTTATTTACGACAATAACATTCTACTGTAATTTATGTAATAGTTTGAAACTAGAAAAAAGCCATTCTTGTTCTTTATAGTAAAGATAATATTTGTAACCCTTGAAGTGTTTGTTGAACAGAAATTTACTCAAAGATGTCAAAAGTTGCAGTATCTTTTCCAGTTTACAGGGTTCTCATTCTGGAATCTCATTTAAAAACTTCTCTGCCTGGTAATATTCAAAGATTTTTTTTAAAACTTCAAGAAATCTAAATAGGACACATGGAAATAAAATAAGTAAAAATATAAGAATCTGTAGTGTTTTGTTCCTTTGCTTACTGGAGTAATTTTGTCTTTTGTGGCCTGGGCATCATTTAACTTTGGTTGCAACACTGGCAGATTTTTTAATGTATGCTATCAGTCTATGCACAGCTTGAGTCAATCAGAAAGTGCTGTAGGACCAGTACTACACCACAATTAGACATTAGTTGTGTACATGTTGGTGACTCACCATCCAGACCCACGATGTGTTGACTGTACATAAGTATTTCTGAGGAAAGTCTCCAAACTAGTCTTTTAATATAATGGTTAAGAGTGTTATAGCATCAGTCACATTTAACTGTGATATTTTGATAGCTTGGCCTCGATGTTATCATAGTCAACTTGAAACCACTTCCGTTGTTTATGTATCTGGAGACTGCTTGGAACATAACCTAATATAAGGGATCATCTAGAATTTTATGCCAAAACTCAAATAAATATTTCCAAAACAAAATTATTACAAGTTTTGCTTTAAGTGTTACTCGTAATTCTTTATTTAAAACTGTAATATTGTTGACTAAAGTTTTCATGGTTGCTGAGGCTATAAATATAACTTGATACGACACAAGTGAACAAATCAACACTGTGGGAACACGGTGTTCAAACACAAATTGTTTCATGCAACAAGAAAGTGCATATCTAGACAATATCA